CACACACACACACACACACACACACACACACACACTTACACACTCAAAACACACAACAAAGCTAAACAAACAATTATAGTAATTGGATAGAGCTTCTCTGCGCCTTCTGCTCTTGTGCTCATTCTGTGGAGCTCACTGAGTGCGTGTGTAAAGAGTGGAACGACGAGGGGGGAGGGGGGAAAGCGGGGGGAGAGAGTAAGAGAGAGCAGGAGAGAGAGGGGGAGATGGGTAGAGAGAGAAGAGGAGAGAGCTTGGCAGAGAGAGAGAGAGCAGAGAGAGAGAGAAAGAAAAAGAGGGAGAGAGAGAGGGGGGAGGGAGGAGATGGGTAAAGAGAGGAGAGAGAGAGAGAGAGAGAGAGAGAGAGAGAGAGAGAGGGAGGGGGATACGCAGGTAGAGGGAGGTGGGGACGCAATATAGTCACGCTTCAAGGAACTGCAGATTTCATAGTGGCACCAAGTGGGAAATCTGGCTTCGTGCCCAAGTGTCTGTGTCACTAACCTGCTTTGTTTTTAGAGAGAGAGACAGAGAGACAGAGAGACAGAGAGAGAGAGGGGGGGGGGTTGTCGTCTCAGAGCGTTACTTCCTGGTCGTGCTGTATTTTTCCATGTTGTGTCTCCTGCGCGCCACCGAACCATTCACAGATTAGACCGGAGGGATTAGGCTGTGGTCAGGGTCTAAAAAAGAAATTGCCAACGATCACTTTGGCTATATTATTTTGTACACCATCTGCACAAGTATACAAGTGTTGGCAGTTGTACCAAAGTCTGTGGACAATGTATGTGTATGTTATTGTTATGTTTATGTGGTCATTTCAGCCGGGTGCAAGCACTGAGGAAGTTTCAAGAACCATTGTTTGAGACCGTGTGTTTTTATGATAAAGCGTTTTACATGTTGCTGTAACCTTCTCTTTAAAAAACAACAACTGTGCAGCAGATATGGACTGCAATAGGTACAGTCGATCTGCCTCTTCCTGATACCACTAGCTATTTTTGTTGAAGTTTGTGCTTTGATGTCACAACGATTTTGATTGAGCGGATGATTGGAGGGTCCCATTAATATGTCCCACTCCTACCTTTCTCTTTATTGTTTCTCTCTTTTTTTTGTTGTCTACTTTAAAAACTGCTGTTGTGTCGGTGTGTTTCTCTGTACCGTAGGAGATAACATGCAAATTGATTGTTTTGAGATGTGGCGGTACGTTCATGAATCGTCACTTGAGTTTTGTCTTTTGTTTGCCCCACTCCTCTGCCCACCTTCCTTCTTTCCTATCAAACATCCATCTTATTGTCTTTTGTCCTTATCTCTCCTCTTTCTTTTTTTGTGCACGTTACTCTCTTGTTATGGGTAGTTGGAGGGCTCTCTGGTGTGGTTTGCTTCTTCTTTCCTGTCAAACATCTATCGTCCTTATCTCTCTTCCTTCCTTTTTGTGTTTGTTTCTCTCTTGTAACACCTCTAATCTTCGGCAGTTATACGACCTTACTGTGTTGTAAGTGCCGTAAAACACTAAAACTAAAACTACTCTCTTGTAACACCTCTAATCTAAGACACTTATTTGTCCTAACTGTGGTATGAGTGCTGTCAAACTCTTACTAAAACAAAACAAAACAAAGCCCACCCTCAATTCAGTTGTTCTTAGACAACGCTATTGAGATTTGAGATTGTGTATTTGCAAGTAAAGAGACACCACCAAGTGCCATCCACCTGTGCTGTATCTCTTGGGGAGAACCCGCACATGCACTTGGTTCGCTGAATAATTGTTAGTTTGTTTTCAGGGTTTTTTTTTAGTTACATCTTGGTACACATTTTTTTTCTTCGTTTTAAAAAAACAACCCAAATGGGGCCTAATAGCTCCTACTGAAAGTGAAAAATCGCCTGAGAACAGAATAAAGTGTATTATCGAAGGGTACAGCTGGGAATCGAACCCATGACATTTCAGTTGCAAATTAAATACTTTATTGTCACTCCGGCAAGACACCTTGAATTCAAAGAAAATGAGCACATTTGACTTGTCTGTTTTTTTATACCTTGTTTTTATGGGATTTTTTCTCATGTGTTTAATTTATTTATTCCTTCTTTTTTTTCAGGAAGGTGCTTATGCTATTGCAGTGATAAGCAAGCATTACCCTGGAGATATTGTGGCTACCAGGTAAGTGTGTTTGTGTGTGAGAGGGGA